TCATTTATATTCTGTGAAAGATATGCAGGCCCTGCATGTCACTGTAAGAGAGGTGTATAGATTTTTCAGTTGTGTCACAACCACATGTAAAAGCATAAAATGGTGTTACTGTATTTATATAAAAAGCATCAAAAAGGTGCTATCTGGATTCCCAGGATGATATAAATACACAATAATAATGAAGTAAAATCTAAGTCAGTTATACAGTAATTAGATACTGGTACTAGGTTCACTTACAAGCCAAATGATTCATCTACTGTACCTTCAGCATTAGTCTGTACACAAGAAAACCTTTTTTTATTCAGAGACTAAATGTTGCTTTCCCTACCATCTGAAATAATTCTTTAAAATTCTGAGCTGCCACCTGTCTTTCTGTCCGCAGGTCTGTTTAAGGAAAAGATGTTATTGATGCCAAAAATTTGATAATCCAAAAACATTTAAGAGACACTTGCTATAACTGAGGGTGGCAAATTCTGCTTCTGTTCACAGTATGAGGTCTGGAATTGCATATTTAATTGTTCCAACCCCTTAAGGTTTGATACTTACAGATTCTGAATGGTATCTCAGAAAAAAAAAGTATTTTTCAATGCCAAATGAGTCAGATGCTGGCCATTCTGCAGCCATTGTCTTCATTATTTACTTTGAGGAAAAACTGGATGGCTTGTGACTGCTTCTGCATGCTGCACCAGTTAATGAATTACATTGATTTTTTTTATCACATCACATAATAGTTTTTTTATCACATTAGGGTTTTTATCTTCTGATTGCTTCTCAAGAGCCTATGATTTGCAATTTTCTTTATGGGAACAGAATCTTACCTAATTTCTCCACTTCATAATGTACAAAATACTTAAAAATAGTGCATTAATTCCTTGACATTTTGTAGTGTGTTTTCGGTTTACATTAACTGCTGAAAAGAAAGTGAAAATCTTTTGCTAGTATGTTATTATAGGATGAAGTCATCTATTTCTGCTCCAGTTCAGTGAAATACTTAATTTGTACTTTGAACCTGTGCTTAAAGACTTTGGTAATTTTGGATCTGGATAGCAAATATAGGATCCCTTCTCTTAATGTCTTTGAGACACAATTTCAAAGGATAATAATTTTTCACAGATCCAAAAGTGCTTTTTAGTGGAGGTCTGTAGCAATATTTTCCTTCTATGGTTGCTTTGCCTCAATTTCCAATGTGCATATTTAATTTCTCTCCAATATGGACTAGAATAAAAGTGACATTGTAAGGAAAAGCAACAAAAAGAAACTACTAAGGAAAAACCAATAAAGTTAAGACGTGATATGTCCTCCTGATGTCAATTTAAGTAGTAGGAACACAGTAGATCCCTCTCCAGGAGGAAAACAAATTGAGACTAATGCATTTTTAGGACTTCATTTACAATATCAGTAGAAGGTTTGTAAAGAGTAGAAGCTCCAAATAACGAGTTACTTCAGCTGGGGAGCAGCAGAGAGTGTTGGGATGATTTTTACCACTCAGTGGAGTGTCTTGGTGAAACCAGGGAAGACCTTTTCCTCTGTATTAATTGCAAGCCAGTGCTCATTAGGAAGCTGTGTTGGGGTCATACATGAGGTGATAATGGGAGTGCAGTGGCCACTGCATTTGGAAGTGCTGGGCTGTCCTACAGATATCAAATATATATATTTTTTTCCTGGGAAGCTGAATGAAAATTTTGCTTAGAGGTTCACAGTGAAAAAGAAAGAATGGAGATGCTGGCTTTTCAGAATGGAATAGCAAATGGTCAGTTTTGATGAACAGAAGTTGACTCACATTTTCAATGCCATATTCAGTTTGAATTAGTCCAGGGCAAAATCAAACAGAAAAACAATTGTTCAGCAATTGAATGTAAGATGAGTTTTAAAAGATTGGACTTTTTATGTAGATGCATAATCTGAAGGTTATAAGAAGATAATTTGAATTTGTTTTGTATTTTCTCAGCATAAAATCAAAAAACAGGAAATACCATATATGTTGAAATTGGAAATCATACTGAATGTAATATTTAAAGATAACAGCTAGCCCATGGAAGTCTCTAAATGTAATAAAGTGTGCACTGTAGACACAATGAGTTCTGAGATTTTTTTTTAGCATGAAGGTTTTTCTACTTGTAATAAAACTATCTCCCAGTCTGGTATTGTCCTGGATTTATCTGGGATAGAGTTCATTTCTCCTCAGTAGCTGGTACTTTGCTGTGTTTTGGATTCAGTATGAGAATAATGTTGATAACGTACTCATGTTTTGGTTGTTGCTAAGTAGTGTTTATCCTAAGCCTAGGACGTTTTTTGTGTCTCATGCTCTGCCAATGAGGAGGGGGACAAAAAAGCTGGGAGGGAGCACAACTGAGACCCAAACTGGCCAAAGGGACATTCCACACCATTAGAATGTCATGCCCAGTTTATAAACTGGGGGAGTGACCTGAACAAGGACAGGGACTGGCACTGGTGGTGAGCAATTGCATTGGGCATTGCTTGTCTTACTGTATGGGTTTTAATTTTTTTTTTATCATCATCATTATTATTATTATTAATATTATTATTATATTTTCATTTTGTTTCAATTATTAAACTGTTATTATCTCAACCTACAAGTTTTACTTCTGATTCTCCTCCCCATTCCACTAGAGTGGAGGGCTGAGCAAGTGGCTGTGTGGTGTTTACTTGCCAGCTGGGCTTAACCACAACAGCTATGTGTAGAAATATGGGTAGGGAGAAAATCTACAAAAGATTTGCAAAAGGTTAGGATCATTTATATGGTAGCAAGTAAAAAGGTTATACTGAAGTATATACAGAATTATATACTGTATATATAGGTGAGCATCTGTTCATCATTTGTTTCAATAAGAGGGGCAGAAATAATTCAGTAAAAAATACATATCAAATATTTTTTGCAACTTTACACAAAGACATCACTGGAGCCAATAGCTTTGCAGAGAAATACAGAAAAAATTAATCTGTGTGTTTGTGTAACAAGGAATTTATTAAATTAATATTTTTAATTCAAAGATAAACATCATGCTTCATGCAAAAATTATTGGCTTGTTGGTAAAGCTAAGGAAGAAGCTTCCTTGAAAGGAACATTATGATTTTTGGTTCTGAAGGTTGCTTAACTTAGTTTAATTTCCTTAGTATATCATAGTGTCTGTTCTTGTAGAGAAAATTCATGACCAACATGGACCAGCAGTTTGGTTGAGTTTGGTCATATCCATTTTTCTATTAGAGCGGATCTGATTTTCTGCTGGTACTCTGTGTAACTCAATTCAAAGCTGAAATGTTCTTAAAAGTAGTGGGACGTCCTCAAGCCAGGTATAATTCCTGTTGCTTGGAGTCAGTATGTTGCATCCAGACTGAACAGCCAGTTCTCCAGGATGGACAACAAGACCAATCTAAGACAAGCAGCAAAACCTCAGGCCAAATACTGAGATAGAGTTCCCAGCAGTGATAATGAGGTGAGGTTGCATGTGTAGCAGCAGAGTCCGGGAGTGATCAGTTCTGCAAACCTCATTTGCAGTCAGTGGTGCCAGGGCAGCTGCTGCACTGTATTTGTACAATACATTTGAAAGGCACTTCACCTGTGCTGTTCTCTGGGTGGCTTTGTGGGATGTATTTGGCCATTTGTAGCAATAGCCCAGGGGTTTCTGGTGATGTTCTGTTCCCCTCTGCAGTCTTACAGCCTTGGGTGTCCCTGCTAGACTGCTCACTTTTACACACAGACTTCTAATGTTGCTCACTATACAATGATATTTAAAAGTATGATTATCTGTTTGTGTATACATATGAATATGATGATTTCTTAGCTATTTGCTATTAATATCCAGTTATGACATTATTAGTATGGGTTATAATTTAATTCTTTTGGGACTATAGTGAGTATTTTTTGGTAAGATGTTACAATACCATGTTATGCAGGCGTAATGGTAATGAGTCAGGAGTTGGCACACAGTCTTCTGAGTCAGGATATTAGGGGGCATTGTGTACCAGAGGTGCTTTCTTTTGGCTTAGCTGTGGAGCTGACCATCTGTGGTCATAAAAGATCCTGGGAATGTTTTTGTAATAACCTAGTTTAGTGACCAGATTTCTTTATGAGTAATGGCATTTGAATGAACTTTCCCAAATTATAGCTATTACTTCTTTTATAAAATATGCTTTGTCATGTTCTTATGCTGTCATATTTATATATGTAATTTTCTGCATTTTAATTTGCTATTAATCATGCATCATTGCAGACTGTAAAGCTGGGAAACTCTGAAATCCCTTGTGAATATTGTTTGTATTAACTATGCCTGTGTACATAGGTAGTTCAGACACTGCCTTGAGTTTATAAAAGGTTATTGTCTGCAAACAACATGACTTCTATTCCCTGTTATACTTCAGGTATAAAAGTCACTAATCACTCTGTTCTTCCCAAATTGAAGGCCTAGAAGCAGTCTAAACAATAAGAAGTTCAGTGATCCACTGGGATATTACCAGTGGATATAAAGCATGCTGAATACACATTAAAATAAAGGGCCTGTTGTGCTCTCAGGAAAGAAATAACTGCTCTTCATTTCTGTTCAAATTCAAGGGAAATTTTAAGGTGTTTCACTAGTTGACTGACAGGTAATTCTGTATTATTTCAATGTAGTGAAGAAACTATGTTGTTAATTCCCAGATTAATTTCCTTTGAAAACTCTGGATATTTGTAGTTCTCAGACAGCTGATATATACTTCCTTTTATTCTGTTACATCTTAAAACAATACAAACACCTGGTTAATTTTGTAACAGTGAGGAAAAGGAAACAGGCCCACTAATAACTGGCTGAGACAGCAAGCTGAAACAATGAGGACTTAAAAAAAATGGTTTCTAGGGTTACTCCCAACCACCACATAAACCTATGGATTGGCATCTAGTGAAAAAGCTGCTATCACTCTTTGGGGCAAATAGAGGCAAAAAGGGAAAATGTGACACAGTAGCAATGCTATTTTGTTGATATTGGTGTCTCATTGTCCTATAGGTCTGAAGTTTGAGGAAATGCAGGAAAAGTTTGGGGAGGAATTCTTCAATATCTGCTTTGACGAGAATGAAAGAGTTCTTCGAGCTGTAGGTGGGACCCTTCAAGACTTCTTCAATGGCTTTGACGCTTTGCTGGAGCATATTAGAACTTCATTTGGAAGACAGGCCACCCTGGAATCTCCTTCTTTCCTATGCAAAGAACTCCCTGAAGGCAATCTCATGCTTCATTATTTTCACCCGCATCAGATTGTGGGATTTGCAATGACAGGAATGATAAAAGCGGCAGCAAAGAAGATTTACCGCTTGGAAGTGGAAGTAGAACAGGTCACAAATGATAAGTTGTGTTCAGAGGGGACAAACCCAGGTAACTGCAGTTGTTTGACTTTCCTTATCAAAGAACATGCAAATGCAAATACCACAAAAGCACTTCCACCAGGAACCTCCCAGTCCCCCTTAGACCTGAGGATTAGTATCAGCACCTTCTGCAGAGCTTTCCCCTTTCACCTGATGTTTGATCCAAACATGCTGGTTCTCCAGCTTGGAGAAGGTCTTAGGAAGCAGCTGAGATGTGACAATCATAAAACGCTGAAATTCCAAGAGTGCTTTGACATAGTCTCTCCTAAAATCAGTGCCACATTTGAACGAGTTCTCCTGAGGTTATCTACACCCTTTGTCATCCGGACCAAACTTGAGGATTCTGATTCTGAAAGTAAAGATAAGGTAAGAATATTAATTTGGAAGTGGATGTGCTTATATGTGTGTGGTGGGAGAGGATTTTTTTGCTCAGAGAAAGGCAGCTCAAGTCCTGTGTGTTCTGGAATGCCCACTCATGCCTTGCAAACAGGGGCTAAGTGATATTCCCCAGCCAAGTGAATATTTTCCTAGATTATTTATAAGCTTTGTCTGTGAAGTTGTAGCAAATCCTGACATTTCCATTCAGAAAATTCTTCACAGTGAGATTGAATAGTACAGCTTGAATAAAAGGGTGAGGAATTTTACAAAATACCCGTATCTTATCCTTAATTTCACTCTGGGCATGTTATGATAAGAATAGTTTTTAAGCCATTTACTAGGACCTAGCTTGGAGTACTTATTTTGAAAGTTTCTCACCGCTGGTTTCACATTGTTACCTTAATGTATCTTATTTCCCTGTTTTGGATGCTGCTTTCCTATTGGTTTCTTCTTACCTCTCACCCTGCACTCAAGAAAACCAGGGCTGTAAGTGGTACTGAGTGTCACTTAAGCCAGTTTTATTGTGTTCCAGTCATTCAAACAGGCACTTGTCCTCCCACACTGCATCTTTCCTCCATGTTTTAGGAGAGAGCTACCTTAACCAGCGAGCCCTGTGTTGAGTTCAGTGCATTCAGCTGAGTAGACTGAGAACATGTCTTTAGTGTGGAGTTCTCCAATGGTTGGATGGAATTTGTCTCAATGCCTATCCTGGAATTACAAGGAAGTTTTTTGGTGTGAAGTAGGGTTCTGGGTTTTATGCACCAAAGTACTTGTACTTAATTAAAACTTGCTTAAAGGCTTGAAAGTCTGTGTGTGGGTGCCCTGGAAATACTGCTGCCCAAAGTGGAACTGGATGATCTTTAAGGTCCCTTCCAACCCAAACCATGCTATGGTTCTATGATTCTATGATAATTCAAAATATAGTTACTTCTTACAGCAGCAGTATTTCCAGCTCCTCTTTGGCACTATACTTTGGCACCATAAAGCATATGTCTGCTGCATTTTCCTCTGGAATTAATATGTTCCCCCAAGAGAAACAAACTGGTGCTTTTCATTTTGTATTATTTGATGTCATTCAACCTTCTTGAAGCCAAAAGGGAGTTTATTTTTCAGAACCAGTCCTCAGTGTCACCCTAGCCTTTAATTACAAGAAGGAAATGAGGTGTGAAAGGAGTGGAGGAGTTGGCTCTGAGCTACCTTATGATACACTTGTTTCTCCTTTGGAAGAGTCTGGTTTCACGACGCTTCAGGCAGAATGCACCTATCCTTCTCAGAACCCTTCCCCTCTCCCAGGACAGTCACAGCCCTTTGACTGTCTTCTGCTCTTCATGAATTTGCTGTACATCACTCTGAAGAAGAAGAAGGTTTAGGTGGAGGAAGGAGACTTTCAAAGCCTTTTCCCCTATTTAAGTTAAACACACAAAATACTCTCGTACCTGGACAGATTTCATATGGCTGTGGCTTGCGCTCAGGAGCAGTGGCAGGAGTGGGGCTGGTTGGAAGCAGGATTTTAGATTAGGCACTACTAACACTAGGGACACAGGTGGAAGGGGATGGCAGCACAGGACATCCTTTGCCTGCCGGCAGCTGGGAGAAAAATTGTATCTTGAAGAGTGAGGTCTGAATTAGAGGGAAAAGGGTGATGGTGAGGTGCAGGGGAGCTGTTGTACTGAAGGCATGGGAATTAATTTGGGAACATCAGTTTATCTGAAGAGGTGTTTTCTTCTGTCTCACCCATTTGATAAGCACTTCCAAAATATTTTTTGCTTGTGAATAGGTTAAAAAAGCTCATCATATGAAGCATTTTGCTAGATATTTGCTTTAAAAAAAAAAAAAAAAGTTGCATAGATTCGTAGGCTATGGTTGACTTGCTTACATAGATTTTGAGAGGAGGACATAGCAATACAGTTTATGTCATGTCATTATCCATAAAAGTCCTTCATGGATAAAAAAAAGTAGACTGGACCTTGGGAACTGCATGCTGTATTATTTTCCTATAGCTCATGCCACTCATTTTGGAATTCTTTTCAGTTTGCCAGCACTTGTTTGGAAGTTGAATATTAGGCAGGTAGATGAGTAGCTGTAAGCATGACCCTGCTTAAAAGTTGCCAGTAACTGACTTAGACATTTCCCTATTTCTCTGCCACACACCTCTCTTCAGTTCATAGTGGAATCACATCCCACTTAGAGCTATTTATTTTTAAAAAATAATAAATAAATCTGAGTCTGCAATAACTGACACTTTGCAGGCTTGGTTACCTTCAATGGCAGCTGTAGGCATGTGACCCAGACAGCTTTGCTGCAGTGTTGAACCTGATCAGATGTCTTATTGCATTAAAAAAAACAAAAACTCAAAAGGCTTTGCAATGAACAGATGCTGTTCCAGCCTCTCTTCAAAAGATGTTTATTTTCATTTCAATGCATAAATCATACACTTTTTTCAGACTAGCAGTGAGAAAGACAGAATCAGAAAACAGTTTTCATTTAGTCCTGACACTAGCTCTGTGTTCAGATGAAAGTAAGTCATAAACCATGATCTTTCCCTAACTAAACACCTACAAGTAAAATTGAAAAAAATAAAAAAAACCAACCCAAAAAACAGCACCTGTCCTGGCTTTCAGGGTGTTGAGTGCTTGTCCAGTTTATTTAAAGAATCATTTGTGTGTTTCACTTTACTGGTATTTGAATAATTGGAATAGATAATACTATCCTAAGTTTCTGGTATAAGTCCTGTGAGGTCTGGGTGCAGAGCTTCCTGCAGAGCTGTATTGCACCTTTGCAGAAGCACAACCTCACCTCATGCATTAATATCTCAGCAGAATTTTGTTAATTTGGTATGTCACCACCTGTTCCTTGGAGCTCAGAGTATTTACGGGATCCCATTGTTCTAGGGACCAAGCAGGAAAGAAGGACTCTCCACCTGAAGAACATGGATACCTAGTTTTAAACATGATTTCCAACACCATGTTTCCTGTTTTCCCATGCAGCTAAATGCTTGTTATTGGTTTTTTTCTTATGGTATGGTACTACCCAGATATTGAAGGGCCCCGTTGCTGCCACTTCTTATATAAACATTCTGTTGCTTTTCACATTTCACTCTAATTTTTGGTTTCGTGTATGTTTGTGTTTTCAACCAGGGAGCTTCACTAGCATCCAGTTAGATTTTCCAAATTTTGGATATTGTCCCAAAATATCAAGACAATGTTTGCTGTTTAGCCTCTCTAAGGAAACTTGTTCTACACTTCTTTATGGGAGCAGTTATTTATTGCAGCAATAAAAAATAAATGTATTGTCACAATTAACCATTTGGGATTGATCTCTTACAACTTCACGCATGGTTAAGGCAATTGTACTGTGGAGAAGTTCAGTGAATGTTAGTGGAGTCACATGTGGGATAAGAAATTAAATCAAGAGGGCTGAGTCTGAACTCGTGTGATGGAGTGTTCTGAAATCCATGTCAAGCCCATCCACTGAGGTGAGGTGCTGGCACGGGAGGGGGCTGATAACCCCCCCAGCAGTGAGTTGTGCATGCAGGGCAGGTTGGTGTCCCCCACCACTGTCTGCCCAGACAGGGGCTGGAAGCTCCCACAGGTACATCCTGAGTGCAGCCATTTTCAGACTGTAGTGATGAACAAGGCCATCTGTGACATGATATAAATACTCGTCTCCTTGACAGTACACTGAGGTGCCTGGAGCTGCTTCAATTTTTAGCTGAATGGGAGCACAAGGAATTGTGTCTCTGGAACTGCTTTCACTCTTCTGGCACGTTCTCCTCACGTGCCCCTTGTGAGCCCTCAGTGCTGGGCAGATTGAGAGGAGATGGGGCTGCCCTCTCAGGGACCCATTATCCCCAAGACCTCCATCCAGACCCAGCCCTCCTGGATTGGCAGGATGAGCCCTGCCAGCACTTTTGGTGCCCACCAGTTCATCATGGGCCCACATTTCTGAAACTGGGTTTCAGGTTCCCTGTCATATGCTGTGCATCTGTATTTTCCTTGTAGTGCTGCGCTTCAGCTCAAACTAACAGGCCTTTTCCACATTTGAAATAAATCAGTTTTTTAAGGATACTCACTGGCCTTTGACTTAGGCCTCTGGGCACTTTAGAAATTATCTAAGAATAAAGCTGGCACCTTAAACTGTATTACTGGAGATGCCCAGACATTTTTTTTTCTGATGGAATGTATTTGTTTTGAAGATTTTATTGAAAGCATAACTTCCCAGTTAACAGTTCAGCAAAATGTCTTCTGGCAAAAAATTAATTGTATTTATATACGTGAGTAAAATTTTTTTTTCCGTAATTTTAGACATAAAATACTTTTATTAGGGAAGAAAGTTTATCTTACAAATTATAATATGCCTAAAATATGAAACACTGGATTTGACAAAAATGACCCTCTGAAATTTTTATGTTGGCATAAATTCCAAATGCCACATATAATTCAGATTTATGAATGGATTGAAACTCTGTCAGGGGAGGTTTAGGTTGGACCTTGGGAAAAGGTTCTTCACGCAGAGGGTGGTTGGGCACTGGAACAGATTCCCCAGGAGTGATCACAGCACCGGCCTGACAGAGTTCAAGAAGCACTCGTACAACACTCTCGGGCACATGGTGTGACTCTTGGGACTGCCCTGTGCAGAGCCAGGAGTTGGACTTGATGATCCTTGTGGGTCTCTTCCAACTTAACATATTCAGTGATTCAATGATAAAAAGTCCATCCAGACCAGCACACTGACTTTCACAGTGACCAAGAGACACCCCTTTGTGAAACAGGTAAGACAAAGTTCAAGCCTGCAGTGTTCCTCTTTTTTAGCTCTCAGGGGAAGAAAGCGCATCCTCTTGCAGTGGTATCCAGGATGTGGCAGGGGATAGCCCCCTCAGGACCAGCCTCCATAATTTTCTCTAGCACCTTTTGAACCAGGAGAAGTTCACACTGTTAGCTTCTGTGGCATCCTGTGGACATAAGGTCTGCTGTTTATTAGCAGCTGTG